AACATGTAAGAATAAATACACAATTTTTTATAAATAAATTTTGGGGTCTTGGGGGCCCTCGTACTTTAACAATAGGTTTAAGATATGATTTTGTGGATCTGGCTGGTGTGGCTCAGTGGATTGAGTACCAGCCTGTGAAACAAAGAGTCACAGGTTCAAGTCCCAGTCGGGGCACATGCCTAGGTTTTGGACCAGGTCTCCAGTGGGGGGCATGTGAGAGGCAACTGCACACTGATGTATTTCTCCCTTCCTCTCTCTCTCCCTTTCTCTCTCTCTAGAAATAAATAAATAAATACTTAAAAAATACATATATATATAATTTTGTATAGCTGTGATGCTTTAATAAATGCGAATGTAAATATTCTGGTATTTCTTGTGCTTTCCTTCTATATACATAGCAAATAGTGAATTAATGGTCACCACTGTTCTAAAACAAAACACTCTCCTACCCACTAATAAGTAACAACAGTATTATAAACTAATTTTAGCTGATTTTCTTACTTATCAATGCAATGGTATGTCCAGAGTGTAAGCAAGTGAAGAGGATTATCAAAAAAAAAAAAAAAAAAGGTAAGATTATCAGAAATGTATGAGAAATTTTAAAAAATCAGTTCAACAAGCTATATTTATACATTTTAGCTTGTATAAAATGTACGAGCTACGGGGGGGAACCTATTTTTCTTTAGACACAAGACAAATTATATAAGCAAATTTACACACAATAATTTAAAATTCCTAAATGGTTACCCTGCTTGAACAAGTAGAGTTAATGGACATTGAAACAAGCAATCAAAAATCAGGCCACGACATTGCTGGGTGTTTTCAGTTTTGTTTTGCTTTGCTAAAGAAAAACAGTTAATACAGGGAACTACAACTGAGTTCTAGAGGAAGTCAGTCCCAAGTGCGAACTGTGCCTCTGTACAGTAAGCAGTTGCTTAACTGTGTGAGATGAGTTGAGCTGCACAATGAACTTCCTGTGGTTTATAGAAGCCATTAAGAGTATAGTGACCTGTCTTCCCCTGCCTGTCAGCCTCCATTATAATGTCTGTAATTGAAATCTGTGTTTATGTCTAAGTATACCTAATATAAAGGGTTTTTAAAAAAGACATAAAATAGTTGTGGGAGAAAACTCATTTTCTGAAACTTTTAAGACCAGCAAAATTCCTATTATTGAATTCCCTTTAAATGAAACCAAATTGACATATGGGAAATTTTATCTTGTTTTCAAAGAGCCAATGTTCAACACCACTTAGCAGGTAAGAGTTTTTCAAAAGGAAACAATAATTATGTATTACGTACTATGTGGCACTTACTAGGACTAAAACCTTCTAAGCTTCCTTTATTTCTTCTCTAATAAATATGATTTTTTATCCTTAACCAAGGACATTTTTTCATTGCTTTTTAGAGAGAGAGGAAGGGAGGGAGGAAGAAAGGGAGAGAGAGAAGGAGAGAAAGTGCAACATCAATGTGAGAGAGAAACATCACTGGGTTGCCTTCTGTATGTGCCCTGACCAGGAATGAAACACACAACCTAGGTATGTTCCCTGACCTGGAATTGAACTTGCAACCTTTTGGTCTATGGGACAATGTTCGAACAAGTAGCCACCCAATTGAGTAGCTAGAACAAGTAGCTCAGCCAACTGAGCCACCACTGGGATAAAGAAGTCCTTTATCTTCTCTTTCTGGCATCCCTATGATTTGGATGTTGGAACATTTAAATATATCCTGGAGATTCCTAAGCCTCTCTTCATTTTTTGAATTCTGGTTTATTCATTCTGTTCTGGTTGGATATTTATTTTCTCCTTTTGTTCCAAATACTTAATTTGAGTCCTCGTTTCCTTCCCATCACTGTTGGTTCCCTGTATATTTTGCTTTATTTCCCTTTGTGTAGCATTCACTTCTTTTTTCATTTTGCAACCAAGCTCAGGAATTTCTGTGCACATCCTAATTACTAGTGTTTTCAGCTCTGCATCAGACAGATTGTCTATCTCCTCTTCATTTAGCTCTCTTTCTGGAATTTTGATCTGTTCTTTCATTTGGGCCATATAGCTTTGTCCCAGCACACCTGTTATGTTGAAAAGGAATGGAGCCTTAGGTATTGGACAGGGTAGGGCAACCTCTTTGCTGCATCGTGGTGCTGTCTGTGGGGAGGGGTCTGAGAAGGAATGATACAGCTTGCTCTAGCCCCACTTTTCAATGAACTCTCCTGTGAAACTGGGAGTTCACCCACCTTCGCAATCCCCACAGTGTTTTACAACCAGAGGTTTTGAGTCTAGTTTCCCGGTCAGGCAGTGCTGCCTACATGTGGCCCATACGGTCCACAGCTTTGCCACGGGCCCTCCCTGCCTGGCTGTCTGTTTTTGCCCCTCCTACTAGTCTAGATGAAAGTTTCTTTAACTCCTTGGTTGTCACAGTTCCATGCATTTTGATTTTCTGGCAGTTCTGGTTGTTTATTGTTGTTAAATTGGTTGTTATCCTTCTTTTGGTCGTGTGAGGAAGCAAAGTGTTTCTACCTATACCTCCATCTTGGCTGGAACCACCTCATGTGTTTGTTGTAGTTGATGAACCTTGATTACTGTTGGCTTGTCAATGAGAGGGATTTACCCCCAGGCCAAACAGCTGCAAGGACTGGTTGCAACCACCAACCACCGTGGAAAATCAGTTGTGCAGGGGCCACCCTACAGAGCAGAATACACTTCAGTGGGGCTCTAGTGCCTGCTGGGTCCTCACCTTAAGCATGTTGCTTGTGGAACTTGCTGGGTGGTGCTTCAAGGTGCTCTAAAGCTGTCCACTGGATGTGCTGGCTCTGGGGCCTCCTGGGAGGGGCAGGCCAAGGTCAGCTGCTGCCTATATTCTGCCCAGGACCACCCAGCATGAGCAACAAAGCAATCTGCAGATGGTGTTACTTGGCCTGGGCTTGGAGGTGCCCAAGTGAGGCCAAGCTGTGAACCAAGGCTGGCCGCTGCTAGTTATGGGTCTGGGGTCACTTAGTGAGAGGTATGCCACATGTCAAGGCCAGGTGCTACTTCTTCGAGAGATTTTAGGAATGTCAAATCATGAGTCAAGACATGCTTATTAGTATGGAAAAGCCACTGGAAACAGCTTGGGTGGGCCAGTAAGTTGCTTGGGGTAGGGTCTCAGGGAATCATCAGGGCCGGGAGAACAGTGCAAGCGAGGTTGATGGAGACTCAGATATGGCATCTGCCCACTGGCTCTGTGCTAGAGGTGGTGGCATCTCAGAAAAGAAATAATGACCTCTGCCAGCACTGTTGTCTGAGAGAAAGTTGCCCCCACAGCTCTTGTCCTGATGCCAGACAACTTATTTCCTCCCTATATGTTCCTGGTTCCTTTCAAGTTGCTACCCTAGTGCCTGAGGGAGGCACTAGGTAAAGGGAGTAAATTCAAGTAAGTACACGTGTGGACCCTTTAGGAGGATCTGCCTGGGACTCTAGAAGCCTCTGTCTCCCTTAGCCTCAATCCAAGCCAGTTTTTACAGCCAGAAGTTACAGGGACTTCTCTTCCTGGCACTAGAACTTGGGCTGGGGGCCTGGTATGGGGTTGGGACACCTTGCTCCTCCAGGGAACCTCATTAGCCAAGATTTTTATCTGCCCCACTTGTGTGTGGGACCCTTCCATATCTCTGCCTCTCCTACCATGTGGCTTCTTCCTTAAATCCCTAGTTTTAGGACTTCCGTTCAGCTAGATTTCAGGCAGTTCTGCATGATAATTGTTCTTTGGTGTAGTTATCTAAATCTTGATGTGGTTGTGCAAGGAGGCAAGTACATTTACCTATATTGCCATCTTGACCAGATGTCCACATACTTTAATTTTGAGCCGATGATGATCACAACAATTAGAAGCTTAACAACAGGATGCACTTTGGGCTAAATCAAATATATAAAGAGCACCCAAGCACATCTTTTTTTAAAATAGCATTTTTATTTATAATATTTCACAATCTGAAGTTACAACTATATTTCCCAGAGAACACTGAGCATATCCTCCAGCAAATAGACTTTTCTCATTTTTCTTTAATATATACTTCTTTACCACAGTCTTTACCACCATGGTCCTATGAAACCTGACTTCTGTCCACATACATGCCTGAAACAGCACTTTCAGGGCTGAATAACAGTCATTAAAAACTCTTGTCCTGTAGTCAGAGACCCTTGTTTGAATCCTGGCTCTGCCAATTCCTACCTGTGTGACCTTAAACTGTTGAGGTCCAAAACAGATGTTGAAAAGGGACAATCCCAAACGAGTCCCAGATAAAGTTAGGCTGACCAGGAACTAAAGTTAGGCTGACCAGGAGCAGGGAAATTTTTACTTCCTAAAAGGGCTAACCGCCAATTTCCCTAATAAAGCCAATAGCAATCAGCTGTTTAGAGCTAGCCAATAGCTAACAGCCACATCTGCTTCTGTTCAAAGCTTGCTTGCATACCCCTATATAAGGACATAGCTGTAAGCGCCGGGGCGCGGCTCTCATCTGCAGCTCTTCTGAGCATAGTGTCCTTGGACACTCAGAGAGCTCACCCCTGAGCAGGTAAAACTTGGCCAATAAAGTAACATCTTGAAAATTCTGAAAGTCTCCGAACCTCTGTTTCTCGTGACGGCGGATGCAACAAAACAAGTAATGGAACTAATTTTATTCTCTTGACAGAAGGAGCTTAATCATAAACCACTTAGCAGGTTTGTCGTAGTAACTGAAGTCATTTAAAATATATTAAGCGCAGTGCCTGGCACCAAGCAGGCACACTAAAGAGACACTGCTGTTGCTAAAGTTCTGTTACTCTGCTAGGACTCTATTGTCTCATGACTGTCTTCCACCCCAAGAGTTAAGTGTACACCCAATTCCACTGCCTGTGGCTTGCATATTGTAGAATAAAATTATTGTAAGGATCCAGGTCAAAGAGAGCTACAACAAAGCCATTGTTTTAAAAGAAATTAGTGAAAACTATTTGCTGATTCCTGAGAGAAACAAAAAAGAATAAGCTCCTTACCATGGCCAGTGCACTGATTTCTGACATCCTCCAGGCTTTCTACTTTGATGTTTCCTTGAAGAAAAGTGTAACAACTGTCTTGGAACTGAACCCAGGAGGATGAAGGACAGTCTATATGGGAAAAAAAAGAAAGCAACGCTGTTAGATAACTTGAAAACAAGAATCGCATAAATTCCCAAAGATAAGGATATTAGATATTAGCTTTTCATAGAAAAAAAGAAAGGCAATTGCCCTTGTTAATCTAGCCCCTCCTGAATACCATCCAGTGGCTGGGTAAAGAATCAGAAGGAACAAGGGCTTTCAGTCTTTGTTAAAATAAGAAGTTGACGAGCGTATAATAGGAATTTATTTTTCTCCACTGTATTGTGGGAAAAGAGAACTGACCAAATGATCCTCTTCTGATTTTATAGAGCAAAGTTCAAAGTCTTTGGGTTGCTTAGGAATTCAGATGTAAACTACAGCATTATTGCCAAGGCAACAAACTATTAAGACAATCAGAATTACAAGCCCTCTTCAAGGTTATCTTTGCACTGTGCAGTAACAGTTCCAAAAGTCTTAATTTTACAATATCTTTTGTTAAAATTATACTTCCAACAACGGAGAAGAAAATACATTTCTGGGTTATGACTATTCAGAGAAGTTTTCATATTGCACAGGAAAGCAAGACTGATATTCTTATGAATGTTCTTAATTTAGCACCTCATCAAAGCAGACTCTTTGAATTGGTTCTATGAAACAGAACCATATCTCTTCCTCTACTGCTGTGCTAGAGGTGCATCTCCTTTTTTGTATCTTGGTCTTTTCTATTGCTGTTGGTCATTATAAAGGTATGCCTTTTTGAGCCTTAGTTCTGAAAATTCATTATTAGCATTAGAAGCAAAAGTAGGCCTGTAAGAGCTTGGTTTCACTGTCCAGAATGGACAAAGGATGTGATGAATTCACTGAATTTCAGTAAGTAAAGGAGTACAAGGCATTAATTTTTCATATTCTCTCAGATCTATATAGCTTTTACCTAGTTTTAAGTTCTGTAGGTATCATCACTTTAACACAAACAAGTAGAAAAATGCTGCACTACAAAGATCAGAATTTAACAATGCACTATGTTAGTCTAAATTCAGCAACCTTGATTTTGTTAAGCTCAGAATATGATGGGGACCATGAGCTGTCCCCCATACTAGACCTGATTCTTATACAGCCCAGAGTACATTGTTAGCAAGCTAGAATATTTTCCAAGCTTCTAGTAACTTCTGGATAATGACGTGTGGAGAAGTAAAATGTGTAAAACATGCCTTTAAGAGGAAGAAGTTTGCATCCTGGAATGTAGTTAAGCCAACTTTCATCCTGGAAACGGTGGAAACAGCCTAGGACTATCAGGATGACGAGATGGAAGGATCCTAGGTGGAGCCATCATATCATACTCAGATTGTAACAAGAACGAAAGTAAACTTGTACCTAGCAAAAGCCATCATTAATTCAGGTCGCTGTTTTAGCAGCTGGATCAATAACCTAATTAATACAATGGGCTACTTAAAATGATCCAATGTATGAGACCTCAGTTTTTCCCTGGCCTCATACTGCTTGCTTCTTGTAGTAGTTAAACCATACAAGATGCATTAGTATGAGGGTAAGTGTTCCAACTTACACTTTATTCTGTGTTCAGGTTTTTTCTTTCCTGCTGTTTTTTAAACATGCATTACACATGTGACTACCTTGGCTTGAAATCCTGGGAATCCAGATCTTTTCTATTATGGTGGCTGAAAGGTATTCGAATAGGGATGTTTTTAATAACAAGCACTTTCCTTTGGGAAAATGCCCTTGATAAAATATTAAATAAAAATAATGCTGGCTATAAAATTGTGCATACACTATGATCTCAACATTTAAAAACCAACAAACTCCAGAAAGGTTCAGGAATTGGAGAGACCAGACACCTTTATAGCAGGAGGGTTCAGGGGCAGCTTGAAAACAAGGCACTGGGTGGAAAGTCTATAAAAAGCACCTAGACCCTTCGACCCCCTTCCAAAGAAACAGCACTTCCCCATCTCAGTCTCACACACATCTCTGCTGCCTTCTTCGAAAGTCTGGCCCGTACTCAGAACCAAAGACTTTTGTTTCTCTAAATCCATTTCCAGATCATCAAATGCTATTCCCCGTGTGCTCATTTTTCAGGGTCTAGGCCTCCCATGTATACGCCTTCTCCAAGACATCATCACTGGAATTTATGGTGACTCCCACTTGAAATCTAATCACATAGTTCTTTCTCTTCTGAAATGCCATCCAATGGCTGAGTAAAGTACCAGAAGGAACACGGCTTTGAGGTCAAACAGACTAAGGACAACTTATTTCCTGTTTCCTCAAAGGGAAGAAAAAGTCCTCAATGGATTGTTGTCAGCTTTAGGTAAGAAGCGACAAAACTGCGGAGCATGGTGCCTAATTCAAGGAAGGTGCTCAAAACACAGTTTTCATTGTTATGTCCAAGAATGGCCCCTTTCCCACTACGCAGTCACCTTTCTGACAAGAGGACTTAATTAATCTTTGGATCTCCAATACCTCAAAAAGCTCTTGGACTGTAAGAATTTAAAATATTTTGCTGAATGAATGAATTCTGTCTCTTCATCCTTAAATAGCTTAATTTATTATCTCTTTGGCATCTTCAAATGCCCTTTCCAGAGTATTCATTCATCTTTTCCTTCTAGAAGTACAATAAATTGTCTTATCTCTTATAACTGGACGGAACTTGCTGCCAATTCTAATACTTTTAATGATATGATTTTTACAAAGTAAACTTTTAATTGAAATATACCATACTATGTGTAAGTCATAAAGACACAGCTTGGTGAATGTTTGTAAAATGGAGATATCTATATACTTACCAAGATAAAGAAACAGAACATGGACCCCTTTTGGTCACCACTCCCCTCCAAAGGTAATCACTATCCTAATTTCTAACATTACATTTCTAACATTATAATAATGAAATCAGGCCATATGTACTCTTTTGTGTCTAGTTTCTTTGGAAAAACAGTACTTTTATGAGATTCATTCATGTTGTAGTGTGTAGTCATGGAGTGTTTTTTCTCATTGCTATATTGTGTTGTATGAATTTGTTCATTCTTCCGTTGATACCTCTGGGTAGGTTCTGGCTGGTGGCCATTACCCGTAACCCTGCTGTAAATGTCCTGTGCACTTCTTTTGGTGCAGATATGAATACTTTCCTGTGAGTATATTTCTAAAAGTGAATTGCTGGTTTGTAGAGTGTATATGTGTGTCTAGGTTTGGCAGATAAGACCAAACACTTTTCCAAAGTAGTTATAATTCCTGTAAGTTTTTAAAAATTGTTTGATAATCTTTGCCTTTAATTACAATAATATAATTAATATTTAATATAGTTACTGATGTATTTGAGTTTATATTGACCATCTGATGATTTGTTTTCTATTTGTCCTACTTGTTTTATGTTCCTTTTCCCCCTCTGGTTTTCTTTTTGGATTACTAAACATTTTTAAATTACATTTTTCTTTTATCTTATTAATTATACATTCTTTAATTTTATTTCTGGAGTGAGTACCCTGACAACTACAACATGCCACCTGACTAGAATTTATTAGCACTTAGGACTTCCGCCAAGATGGAGGTATAGGTGGATGTGCCATGCCTTCTCACACAACCAAGTTTAGGGACAACTAAATATTAGCATCAGAAAACACAACCAGAACACGGAAAATTGAACTTTTCGGAAGTCCGTTAACAACAAATTCTTCAGCCCGACCGGTAAGGGGCGAAACCGGCGTCTCGTGAGGGGTTGCACAGGAGGACTGGGTCGGACCCGGGCGCGGAATCCAGACCCGCGAATCCAGACGCACGGGTTCCAAACGCAGGATTGGACCTAGTGAGCGACCGAGCAACCCACCGGGTGAGCGACTGCAGAGGAGACAGTGGGGAGGCGGTGCTGCGTGTTGACTGCGGTCGCCTATTTGCGGGCAAGCGGACAGGCGAGGGAGTGGGCTGTTGGACCAGCCGGGGCGGGTAGAGGGCGCCGCCATTTCCCCGCTCTGACCACGCCCCCACATACAGCGTCACAACCCAGGGACCTGGGAGTCCAAGGCACCGCTTCTCACACTTAAAGGGCCAGAACAGACCAAAAATGTCGCAAGATCTCAAAGCCCCAGAGCCCATAGATCTAAGTGATGAAGAAATAGCAAAACTCTCAGACGCACAGTTTAAAACACTGGTCATCAGGATCCTCACAGAACTGGTTGATTATACTGACAAATTAGACAAATATATGAAGGCGAAACTAATTGAAATGAATGGAATTCCACAGGAAACCCATAGCGATGAAAAGGAAACTGGGACTCAAATCAATGGAGTGGACCAGAAGAAAGCAAATAATGGCCAAACAGAAAAGAGTCAAGGAGCAAGAATTCAAAGAAATGACGAGAGTCTTAGGAACCTCCAGGACATCTTTAAATGCTCCAATATCCGAATTATAGGGGTACCAGAAGGGGGAAAGACACAGCCACCAGTGGAAAACTTATTTGAACAAATAATAAAAGAAAATTTCCCCAATCTGGCAAAGGAAATAGACTTCAAGAAATCCAAGAAGCTCAGAGAGTACCAAAAAAGTTGGACTCAAGAAGAAACACACCAAGGCATATCATAATTACATTAGCCAAAATTAAAATGAAGGAGAGAATCCTAGAAGCAGCAAGAGCTAAGGGGACAATCACCTACAAAGGAGTCCCCATCAGACTGTCAGCAGATTTCTCAAAAGAGACCTTACAGGCAAGAAGGGGCTGGAAAGAAATAGTCCAAGTCATGAAATCTAAAGACCTACAACCAAGATTGCTCTATCCAGCAAAACTTTCATTTAGAATGGAAGGACAGATAAGGTGCTTCTCAGATAAGATCAAATTCAAGGAGTTCATCATCACCAAGCCCTTATTATATGAAATGTTAAAGGGACTTATCTAAGAAAAAGAAGTTAAAGAAACATGAACAGTGAAAGAACAACAAGCTCACAGTTATTAACAACCACACCTAAAACGAAAGCAAACTAAAAGAACAGCTAGATCAGGAGTGGAAACATAGAAATGAAGATCTCAAGGAGG